AGAGACCCCATTATTGTAGGGATGGCTCCAGTTCCTCTGTGTTGTCCAGCTTCCCCCCAAGTCAGGCCTGGGCTGTCCAGACTCCCTGTGATGCTGTCATCTGGATCCTCACCCTCAGGAGCCAAACCAAGCCAAGGGCACATTTAGAGCCCCCCTTTTTATTGCTACTCTCAGGGAGGGGTGGACAAAGGACCAAACAAGGGTGGTAGAACCCTTGCCAGGGGCTACCTGAGGTTGGTATGAGTAGACTCCAGGTTCTCCACCTCTCTGGCCCTTGTGGCTCTGCTTCCACCTCTCTGGGATCCCCACTTGGAGGCATACTGGACTGCTGGTCCCCTGGGGGTAGAGGCAGTGGCATTTATTTACAGAGCAAAAATGGTGCCTGCCTGGAACACTGGCACACTGCCTACCTTCCATGAATAGCTCTGTGACCTAGGCCAAAGAGTCCCCTTATTTGGGAGAGGGAAGAAGATCTTTACACAGAACAGCAGAATGGTCCAGAATTGTTGTCTTTTGTCAAGACCACCTCTCCCAGACTCTAGGCCCCATTCTCTCAGGACAGGCACTTCCTGCCTGCTGCCAGGCCCTGTAGATATTCCTCAGCGTGACAGATAGTCAATGACGGGTGGGGCTTCTGTGGGCTGTGCCCCACCTGAGACGCCAAGGGGAGACATGGGTACCGCCCTAGGTGGGAAGGAACTTGTCTTTTCGTCACTTAGTCAGCCAAATAGCTTTCCAGGCTGGAACTGGCCTAAAAATGCCAAGTCAGCCTTGGGAAGAAACACCTAGGACAGCAGGCACACATGGCTCCACCAGGGCTGTATCCCTGAGATTCTCCTTCAGGGTCCACTGGGGCCATTTTGTCCAGTCCTCTGCACTTGCTTCTCCTGTAAGTGAGAAGTTACATACACTGTTTCATAAAGCATCACAGGGAGAACAATTCCAGGGATTCTCCCAGCTCCTCATTCAAGAGGTGATGATCCTTTGGCCTCAGAGGAGCCTGTGTTTGACCAAACTTCAGCCTTCCTTCTTCCTTGCCCTTTTTCCACCTCCACCCAGTGTCCCCTGAGCCCTGAGTCATGCAGGGCAACTGTTGGAGTAGACAGAGAACCAGCTTTAGCTTCCAGCCTGGGTTTAAATCATGGCCCTCCCAATCAGTAGCTGTGTGGCCTTGAACAGACAACTTCTCTGAACTTTGATTCCCTCATTTGTATAAAAGGGATAACTCCCTCCTTGCCCAGTGCCTGTACGGCTTAGAAAGTATGTATATAAATTGCTGTCCTAACTGTTTAGTAAAAGATAGCCACTATTGTTTTTGCTATTATTTTCAATATCTTATCCCTCTAAAATCCCAGGTCCTCTTTCCCATCAGATATCACATCCACAGCTGCTTTTCTGGACAAACATTCCCTGATACTCTGTTCTTATGCCCACCCCAAGCTCTCACTTCATTGAGGCTTTCTGGAGACAATGTCCGAGTCCCAGGAGTCATGCCCAACAGTGAGAGAGTTAGAGCCACTCATACCCCTCAGGGTTTCTGGCATGGAGATTTGATTTCTTCTCTCTGTCCTCCTTAGACCCCTAGAAAAAGCCCCATGTGGCAAGGGAAGGCCTACAACCTAGTCTCAAGCAAACCCCCTCAGAACACTCACGAACCCTCACACTGTATGCAAAATTTAACTCAAAATGTATCATAGTCCTTAAGGTAAAACATAAATCTATAAAATTTCTAAAAGAAAACTGGGGAGAAAAATCATTATGACCTTGGGTAAAGAGTTCTTAGAGATGACACAAAAGCACAATCCATTTTTTTAAAATGATAAATGGAAATTTGTCCAAATTAAAAACTTTTGCTCGGCAAAAGGGACTGTTAAGAGAATGAAAAGACAAATCACAGACTGGAAGAAAAATATTAGGTTGGCACAAAAGTAACTACAGTTTTTGCCCTTGAAAGTAATGGCAACCTAATATTTGTAAATTACATATCTGACAAAGTACTTGTATTCAGTATATATAAAGAACAACACTCAACACTAAGAAAACAAACAACGTTTTCTCAAAATGGGCAAAACATTTGAACAGACACTTTATTGAAAAAGACACATGGGTGGAAAATAGGGACATTAAAGAAATGCAAAATAAAACCAAAATGAGGACCTCTAAACACCTATTAAAATGGTTAAAATAAAAATTCCTGACAATAGCAAGTACTAGTGAGAATGCAGAGCTACTGGACTCATATATTCCTGGCCTCAAATTTCTACAGCCACTGTGGAAAACTATTTAATAGTTGCTTATAAAGGGAAACATATATGTAATATACAACCAGTAATCCTACTCTTAGATAATTATTCAAGAGAAATGAAAACTTATGTTCACAAAAGAAAACATTACATGAATGTTTATAGCAGCTTTACCATAATCACTAAAAACTGGGAGCAACGCAGATGTCCTTCAGTAACTTAGTCACTGGATAAACAAACTAGAACACCCAAACAAAAGAGTACCATTCAGCAATAAAATGTAATGAACGATGTATACACACAATGTCATGGATGAATCTCAAGTGCATTTTGCTAAATGAAAGAAGCCAGATCCAAAATATATCCTTTTATTTATAGAAGTTTCTGGAAAAGGAAAAATTATGGGGTTACAGAAGAGATCAGTGGTTTCCAAGGATTACGGATAGCAGTAGGGGACGAAATCAGCTACAAAACGATCACAGAAGAGATTATTCAGGGTGATGGAACTATTCTGTATCTGGACCATTGTGGTAGGAATACAACTCTATGCATTTGCCAAGATTCATAGGTCTGTAATCCACAGAGAGTGAATTTTACTGCACATCAATTTAGAAAACTAAATCTAATAAAATGCTTTTAAAAACAAAAAGAAGAGACTAGAAGTAATAAAAGTAAAAATAAACTAGCAGAGTTCAGGAAATAAATGAAAGAAAAATAAAAATATTGTAAAGGTGGAAAAAATAGAATACACACAACTAAAATGCTGTCAACAACATGGTAGACAGGATAGAAGAAACTATAAAACAATAAAGAAAAGAATAAAGATATGAAAATATTGCAGAAAACATCAAAAATACAAATGACAAAGAAGATCCAGAGTCAATAGCATTGCTGTTTGTGGAGAAGGGAACAGATAATAGGATAGATGAAGTATTCAAGGACACACTAAAGTAAAAGAAAACATTCCTGAAAAGCCTGCATGTTAAAAAGGGTACACTGTTTCAGGAAACAAAAAAATCTACGAAGTACAATCTATATCAAAACATTTTGCTGAAAGTATTCAATTTCAAGGATAAAGAAAGAATCACAGGGACACTACAAAAGAAAAAAGGTTAAATATAATGTGAAAAGTATTATTTTGTTAGTTAACTCATTAGTTTAACCAATACATATGGTGCACCTACAATGTGCTAGGCACTGTGTTAGGTGCCAGAGTGATAAAGCAAAGTCCCTAATCTCATGGAGCTTAAATTCTGGCAAAAGGACAGTCAATAAAAGACATTTATCAGTTATGGTATGAGTTATGAAGAATGGTAAGCCAGGATGTGGGGAATAAGACTGGTAAGGACATTTTATTTTTATAGGTGGTGAGAAAAGATCTCCCTGACAAAGTCACTTTGAACAGAGGTCTGAAGGATGTGAAGATGGAGCCATAAGGATATCTGAAAGGTAAAGCATCCCAGAAAAAAAAAAAATCAAGTGCAAAGATCCTGAGGTGGGAATCTGCATAAAGTCTCAAGAACAGCAAGAAGATTGTGGCTAGAAACAGCGAGTGAGTGAGTGAGTGAGTGAGTGATAGAAATGATGTCAGAGAAGTCATCTAGTCAAGATCTTGTAAAGTCTTCTAGGATATAAACACTAAATATGATAGAAAACCATTACAGGGCAGAGAACTGGAAAGTGGCATGATGTAATTTTAAAAGAATAACTTGGTATTGTATGAATTACCTGTAGAATAGAATTCAATAGGATGGGTGGGGTGGGATGGGATGGGATGGCATGGGATGGGATGGGATGGGATGGGATGGGATGGGATGGGATGGGATAGGATAGGATAGGATAGGATAGGATAGGATAGGATAGGATAGGATAGAGTAGGGTAGGGTAGGGTAGGGTAGGGTAGGGCAGGGTAGGACACAACAGAATTGGATGAAACAGAAGCAAGAAGTCTGTTAGGAAGTAATTACAACAGTGCAAGAGAGAAGTGTGATGGCTCATGCTAGGGTGGAATCAGTGGAGGAAATGTGAAGTGGTGAGAATCGAGATATATTTTGAAGGTAGAGTCACCTTTTTTGCTGAAGGACTGAAAGTGAGATATGACAGAAAGGATAATTCTAAGGGTTGGGCCTGGACAACTGGGTGAATGGTGGTGCCATTTGTTGTATTGGGAAATAATGGAGGAATAGTTTTGGGGAGTTGAGCTTTGGTCATGTGAACTCTGCACAGCCCATTAGCTATCTCAGAGGAAATTCCTCAAACTTCCCCTTAACAACACAGTCCCAAAGACAGGGAAATGATGCCTACAACATTCCAAGAGAAGAAAAGCATAGCTTAAGATACACAGGCATGTCACCTTCAAGTGTAAAGCCAGTGGACACATACCATCATACGTGCAAAATAAGAAGGCTCCTAGAAAAAAATTACTTGACTATAAATCTAGCCAACCAAATAGTGAATCAAAATAACTTGAAGATCAAATTTGTGGTTTACAAAAACCAACAACAACTAGTATTAAGCATTCCATAGTCCACAGTCCATAAAGATTTACATAGAACAGAAAGTAAATGTTATTACTTTGGACAATGTGAAAGTAATGCATTTAATAAATATCTTGTGTTGTGGAGGAGGAGAGGGGAAAGAGCAACATGCTAATTTACTCACTTTCATAGCAGAGAGTCATTAGATAGTGTCTAAAATTTGAAATTTCACTTAAAATTTATTCTACTGTCTTAATACTTATTTTCTCTTAACTCTGAGGGCTATTTCAGGAACTAATATTTCTTGTGAAAAAAACATTTATCTGATGTTCAGAAATTCCATGTCAATTCCTTGAGTTTCCTATTATCCTAGTAAAACTTTCAGTTAAATTAAATTTACTACATTTTAGCTAAAATGCTACATATGGTATGATTCGATCCTGGTGAAATTATTTCTCTCTCTATCTCTTTGTGCCCATCCATCTACTCCTCTCTACCCATATACACACAAAGACATGACCAAAATGGTTACCACAGATTTTTAATGATGATTCCTTTCGGGTAATATGAATAGGGTGATTTTTTCCTCAATCAAATTTTTTATTTTACAAGCTGGGTGCAGTGGTGCAGGTCCATAATCCCAGCTACTTGGAAGGCGGAGGCTGGAGGATTGTCTGAGCCCAGGAGTCCAAGACCAGCATAGCCAACATACCAAGACCCCATCTCAAAAGGAAATCTTTAAAACTAGCTATTTACATGTAAATACAAAAGGTAATTAATTTTAAAAACTGAATAGCAAGCACAAACTCAGCTGGGTAAGTAAAGAACAATATGTGACATCTCCAGGAAAAGGTAAATGGAATAGTCCCGTGGTCATGATCTGGTTCCAGCTTCCCTAAGGATTTGCACGAGCCCTTTGGGGGAGGTCAGTGGTCAAGGTCATGACTGAGTCTTGGAGAACCTGGGGCTTCCCATACTAGGGGGATCTGGTGGCACTGAAGTTTGGGCCAAGGACTAGCATGTAGCCAGGACACTGTATGGTGCAGGGTGGGGGAAGGAAGAGAGGGTGGTCTATTTTGTTTCTGAACTCTCTATGGACAATTTCCAGTTCATGTCCTCAGCTACTATGCATGTGAGCTTTCAGAACAGTAAGAAGCATCTACTAGAAACCAAATAGGATCTCAGAAAACAATACTGTCTAACTACCAAGGTTATTTTGTGATGGGCCAGAAGAATCAGTATGTTCTGATATCAGGAAGGCATGCAGCAGAGCTTCTCTCACAGACCTGTGGATAATTTAGAGAACTCTCAATGAAGGGTAGTCAGGGAGGCTGCAATAGCACCCAGTGTTGACGCTGTCCTCATCAGCATTCCCACTGACAATTTGGATGAGGACATGGACAGCATGCTGATCAAACCTGAGAGGACAGATGTCACAGTCCATCTTAAGAGATTCTTCAGGCAAAGACTTTGGAGCTTTAGTTGGCTTGTCTCCATATTAACCAATCGTGTGATATTGCTCCAACAAGTCATTGCTTGGAGATCCCCACACTGTTCTCACTTGGGCTTTGTGGAACATATTGTTTCTTCTGCTAGCTATCCTTCACCTTCTTTATTAAGGTATGGCTTTCTCAAAACTCAGGTGTCATCCTCGATGTCAGAAAAGCTGCCACTTCCCCAACTACACCTCTGTGCCTTCTAAACAATTAGTTCAAACCTACCATAACTTTTACCAAAGTGCTGTATAAACATGTATCTTCTTTGTCTGTCTTTGCAACTAAACCCTAAGCTCCTGTTCTGAGCCCTCTGTATCCCCATCACTGAGAAGACTGCCCAGACATAAATGCTTGATAAATAGAAGAATGGATGAAGTACAATGGACTTTCCAGCTAGAGCAGCAAAACCTAGGGACAAATAAATGGACAAAGATCTGTGACTATATCCTCTCTAGATCCAACCTCTGAATGTTCAGTAACCTCAGCACTAATTTAAAGCTTAGGGAACCCAGGATTGCAGATGCTTCTGCGTTTTCTAAGCAGAACTCAAGCTCATAAGCTCAGTTTGCTCACTGGTGAAGTGGGCAGATTGGACTGACAGCTCTAGCTTACAGCTCTGCAACTGCCATCTTGAAATTATTAGTTTTTGAAAAAGGAGCCCCACATGGTCCTTTTGCACTGGGGCCTGCAAATTATGTAGCTAGTTCTGTTCACCTATGAGTGTAAAAGAATCCATTTTATTTTTATTATAAGCAAAAACCATTTAATAAATATTCAAACCTATGGCAACTTGCATTCTCATCTTCACAATTCATTGAACAAATACAGGTCCATGTTTTGCATAGTTGTCATCAGAAAATACATACTATTTAGCCCCTTTGCCACTTATTATTTTGCATGTACGCATTTGTCCATGCCTTGATGTAGTTCCCATATTTGTCATTCTTAATCGCTCTATCACGTTCTAGAGTGCAAATAGACCATGAGTTTTAAACCAAACCCCAATGGTTGGGCATCTGGGTTGCTTCCAATTTTTAAAAATAGCATTTCTAAGAACAACTAAATACAAATTACTTTCTTTTTTCTCTTTTGGGGAATTTCCTTGGAGTATATTCTCAGAAGTGGAATTCTCAGGTCAAAAGGTAGGAATAACTTTATAGCTCTTAAATATTACTGGATTGTTCTCTTGAAAAACTGAACCAATTTATGGAGCCCTCCTCAGTAGATACATGTAACTGCTTTTAAAGTTCTGAAATAATTATGTTTTACTATGCATATAATGATATCTTAACACTGAAAAGAGCCTCAATGTTCAACAGTAAGGGATTGAGTTTTAAAAGCTTGGTAAGTTTGTATATTTTTTCTATATGATCAGTACAAATCAATTTTTAAAAGCGCCCAAGTCCCCTGGCCTGGCTCATGGTCAGTCCTCGCTCTCAGCCTTGGCCACTCTGTGCTCAACAAGGTGACCTTAAGTATGGATCTCCCACTGGGCAGAGGGCTTTTGCCCGGATCTGCGCTAGAGGCAGAGAAGACAAGCTGGGTCCTGGAGCCACCAGTTCAAGCTGTGCACCTCCATGAGCCTCTGGCTTTTACCTGGGAGCTAGGGGTAATAACCAAGTGCCTTGCAGGGTTGAGAAAGTATCTCATATAATAATGTAGAAAGCAGGCTCCCGAAACGCCTTCAAGTCAGTTGCTGTTATTATTTTCTGAGAAAGTTGGCTGTGCAGAGCAACTAATCAACACTGACTCGCCCCGTGGAAACTCGGCCATCCTCAGAGAGGAAGAAACAACTGTGAATCCCTATTACATGCTACAAGCTGTGCACCTTCCAGGTGGGAGGATTACAATCTGGTACCCACTCCCACCTCCCCCAAACTTAACAATAATACATATTTATTTAGCAAACATTTAGAAAGCACTTACCATGTGGCAGGTACCCTTCCAAGTGTTTCACCAAATTAACCCACTTCATCATCCTAACAATGTAGTGGGGTAGGAACTGGCCCCATTGTACAGGTGAGAAAACAGAGGCAGAAGAGGCTGAGTGACTCACTCTCACCAAGTCATACAGATGGCTAGTGACGGAACCAGGATTCAAGCCAGGCCTTCTAGTTCTAGCTTGTCCTCTAGAGTCCACAGGCGTGTCCTCTAAGCTATACTGTCTCTAAGTGAATCAAGGGACACCAAAACCACAATAGACCCTGGAATCCATTTGAAATAACCCCTAGAGTCTATTTGACGATTCTACTCCAACTCATTCATTTTTAAGATAAGGAAACTGAGGGCTTATCAGCGATGATGACCCACCCAAAAGCACACAGTATGCAGTGGCCAAGCCGGATGGAAACCCAGGCCTCCTTATCCTTGGGGCAGCTCTTCCTACCACATTTCTCTGCAGCCCATCTACAGCCCTTGGATCAGTGACTGGGCAGATCCATTTCTATGGGATAACCCTCACAGCCCTCTTCCCTGAGGGCCCAAGCCAGAGAACTGAGCAATTTCAATGTTGTTAAAAAAGCAGAGTGGACAGGTCAGCCCTGGAAAAATTAAGCTGAGATCAGTGCTTTCTAGAGAAACACCAAACCCACCCTTTGTTCTGGCCAACAGAGCAGTTTTTTCAGGTTGTTTCTGTCCAGAGGGAGTCAAGGGCTAGGCACAAGAAGCAGCTAAATCACATTTCTTTTAAAGAACATAATGCAGAGAGACGGAGGAAAAAGGATTCTCCATCGATCCAGGAGAAGCACTTTCTGCCAGGATGGGTGCCAGGAGGGGCCCTCCCCTGCTCCCTCCCCCCAGTTTTATCCACCCTCTCCCCTCCCGATCCCCGTGCCCAGTCGCCCCCACTCCCACATCAGAACTCCACTTGACTCCTTCTGAGATGAGTACTGTTGCTTCCTCTCCCTCCTCCACCTCTGCTGACGTGCACCTTCTTTGAGCTTCTATGGTTATAAATAAATGATGTCTGGATTGATTAGAGGATCGGCTTTCCCTCTAGCAACAACCCTGAACTCTCATTTCTGAAATCTTGCTGCCCACTAACATCACTCAAGTTTCATTTTGCATTGAGACTTTAGTGGAAAGAGTCCTCACCTGGGAATGCAAGACGATCACTAAACCTGGAGTCAGGAAGTGTGGGTTTGAATCCTGGTCCTGCCACTGACTCTCTACGTCCTTGGGCAAATCACTCAATGATCTGCAACTCAGTTAGCGTCTTTAAAGGGGATGGTAATTTCTGGCCACGTTCCTTACAGAATTATTGAAAGAGGTGAGTAAGTGTGAAAATACAGTAAACTATAATGCCCAATGCAAATGTCAGTGGTAGAGCCGCTCCGCCCTGCAGCTGGCCAGCTCCATGACCCTGACACAGCTCTATTTATTGCCTTACTCTTCACTTTTCACCTCCACATTAGGAATAGTCACACCTACTCTTCCCCAATGCCTTCTAACATTGTTCTGGGGACAAAAATGACACACACATGCAAAGACACTTTTAAACAATAAAATGTTTCTTCTCTCTGATATGAGTGACTTTAAATGATGTTTATGGAGAGTTTTAAGTGAATAATTCAGGATACAAAATTGTGTATGTAGTTTAAAAAAAAAAAAGCAAATCCAGAGACTAAAAGAAAAGATAACAAAATGCTAACAGTAGATGTCTCAGATTTATTAGAATTATCTGCCTTATGAATTTTCTTTTTCCCTACAATGAGCATGTTTAATAATTAACAGAGAATTTTTTAATCAGGCTTTTTTTCAAAGTTGGGAAGTCTTGTTCTCAAGTTGCTCACACAGAGACACACCAAGAGCAGCCAGATGGATGCTGTAAAGCAGTTATGCCCAGTGTGTTAGAAAGGGGGTAGAAGAGGGGCCACCCGCAGAGAGAGACAAGGGGAGGCCACCAGATAAATGGCCAGCCGGGAACCACAGAAGCACCTACCTGTGACTCACATGGGCTATCACAGAAAAGCAGAGCTGGAAGGCAGCTCAGAAACCTTTAGTCATCCACAATTCCCCATCCCCATTTTCCAGATCAAAATTCCAAGGCCAAGACAGGGACAGTGACTCGTCTAAGATGCCAAGTCTCCCATCCCCTAGTACTACAGCCCTTCTGTGCCATCTCTCCGGGACTGTGAACTGTTTGCCTGCCAGGCTGGTGTTTTCTGTTCTTTAGCTGATATTCACCCCCACTTCCCAGTTCACTAGTTGCCATATTCACCAGGGAATCAGAATCACTAATACGGTTGGGCACCATATAATTCAGGATGTGAATCTGCCATACTTCGGTTCAGAAAGTCAGACCATTAAAGATACAGTGGCTGAATAATAAAAATCGTAGAATTCAGGGATTTTAGAGCACTGTTACATTATCTTGCAGGCGAGGAGGCTGAAGCACAGAGACTTTAACAGCATCCACAAGGTTACACAGCTAGTTTGTGGATGTACCAAGTCACACACCCAGCTCTTTTTACTCCTGATTCAGTGCTCTTTTCCATTCTATTGTGCAACTCCTCAGAAATAAATGAATGAAAGAAACCCAAAAGATGACCATCAGTGTTATAATTTAAGAGCTAATCATTACAGACTGGAATTTCCAAATTATTTGGAACTTATACAAAAGTTAAAGAGTTAATGTCCTAATGTACAAACAATGCCATCGAATAAGTTTTTTAAGTGACAGCCCAATTTTTAAAATGGATAAAGGGTACAGAGTAATTTATAGAAAAAGAAATACAAGGCTGGGTGCGGTGGCTTGGTCCTGTAATCCCAGTACTTTGGGAAGCCAAAGCGGGCAGATCACAAGGTCAGGAGTTCAAGACCAGCTTGGCCAATATGGTGAAACCCTGTCTCTACTTAAAAAAAATACAAAAATTAGCCGGGCATGGTGGCGTGAGCCTGTAGCCCCAGCTACTCGGGAAACTGAGGCAGAAGAATCTCTTGAACTCGGGAGGTGGAGGTTGCAGTGAGCCGAGATCGCACCACTGCACTCCAGCCTGGGTGACAGAGTGAGAAAGAAAAAGAAAAAGAAATACAAATAGCCAACAAATATATGTTCTATGTTTATAAAACATGTTTGTCATAAGAAATTCAATTCAATAGAAGTAGAATTAGAAAAGGAAGCTTGAGAGACCTTCATTTTTTACATCCTATATTTCTTCATTGTTTAAATTTATTGCTAAAAGCATTTTGACATTTTTAAAAACTGGCCCTCTAAAATATAAAACTCTATAATCACACGATTTCAAAGGTAAACATTTTTTGATGTTTGGAATTATCTTTACCAGTATTTGCCTTTGTCTACCTACAGCACTGACATGCCCCAGCAACAATTAAAGAATAGATTCACACCATTGATCAGATATGTGAAAAAGCCAAAAGTGAAAACAACTTGAAAATATTACATAAAAATATAGGAGAATGTTGTTTTTAGCCTTGGACTGAGAGAGGCCTTGCTAAATAAAACATGATACCTGAAAGCCATAAGGAAAGTAGTTGACAGATTTGACTACTTACAAATGAAAACTTTTACACAACAAAATACTTACAAATAAAGTTAAAAGGCAAATGAAGAGTATGGAAGAAAATGTTTTTAATGTATTTAACACAAAAGGATTAATATTGAACTTTATGTAATAACTTCAAATCAACTATAAAAGACCAGACATCCAATGTACATTAAAATGGATGGAAGTTATAAAGAGTCAATTCAGTTTTAAAAATGAAAAAATAAAATTTAAATGGCTAACAAACGATTTTTAAGATGCTCCACTTCACTTGTAATCAGAATACCCATAAAAAGTTGTTTAAAATTATAATCCATTTATATCATAGAACACTACAGAGGCATTACTTTTTAAATTAAGGTCTACTTGTACGTACAGACATGGAAAGATCTCCAAATGCATTTCTTGGAAAAACATGCTACAAAACAATGGAAATTGTACGATCCCATTCATGTTTAAATGCTTTATATCAGCCAAGCATGGTGGCTCACATCTGTAATCCCAACACCTTAGGAAGCCAAGGAGGGCAGATTGCTTGAACTCAGGAGTTTGTGACCAGCCTGAGCACCATGACGAAAGCCCACCTCTAGTAAAAATACAAAAATTAGCTGAGCATGGTGGTGCATGCCTGTGGTCCCAGCTACTCAGGAGGCTGAGGTGGAAGAATTGCTTGAGCCCAGGATGTCAAGGCTGCAGTAAGCCATGATCATGCTACTGCACTCCAGACTAGGCAACAGAGCCAGACTCTGTCTCAAATAAATAAACAAAGCTTTGTATCTGTTTTCATTTATGTACATATAGCTGTAAATGCATGGGCAAAATCCTGAAAGAGTATACATCAAACTGTTAAGAGTGATGTCCCTCTGGAACAAAGTGAGAATGAAAGAGGTAGCTTTGGAACCAAGGGGACTTTCACCATTTACTTTATTTGCTAATGTGTGCATTGTCTGAATCTTGTAAAACAATATTCCTGTATTCCTGTATTTTAGAAAACAATAAAATAAAACAATAGAGAGGTCATCATGGCTGTGATTTCTGTGAACCAAACTAGCAGGAGTTGTCTAAATTTTAGAACTAATTTCCTGAGATAGAAATGAGACAGGCAACTTTATAGAAGCATCAGAAAGTTTCTTCTAAGTCTATCCTCAGCTTTCTTGGTGCGTAGTCTTGTTTCCACTTGTTCTACCCTCAGGGTGCACTTAGAAATCAAGTCCACTGCTGGCAAGGGAAACGTTCAGGCTCTCATAGAGAAATGTCCCCCCCCCTACCTGTTCCCATTTTCACCGCTCCACCACAGCCTCGGGCCAGAGCAAATCTCTGCCTCTAACCAGTCTCCCTGCCCCTGGAACCCTCCTGTCAGAAGGACAGCCTCAGGTCCTTTGCAGCAAAGTCCAGTACAAAGTGAGCTTATGCAACCCCAAAGAGAAGGTCTCCCAGAACCCCTGGTCAATTTCCACTACCCTCACCCAAGGGATGAGAATTTCTCCACCACAAAATGTTAAAAGACGTCAGACTCAGAAAGTCATGCATTCACCAGAATATGTGAGCACCTACTTATGTGCCAGATATTATACAGGGTCTTTCATTTATGGTGCTTCTTTCTTTCAGGCCATACCATAATCCCAGGGTGGGCACTATTGCTTGTGCACATTTTACCAGTGAGAAAACCGGGATCTGAAAGATGACATCACCAAAGGTCAGTTCAGTTCCACAAACATACATTAATCAGGTGCTCCAGGCACGGCCCAAGGTGTTTGGTTTTTATAGAAAAAACAATTGTGCTCCCTACCCTTGAGACTCTCAACAACAATGAAGAAATATTGGCAAAAATATAATACCCTACAGAGAGGCCAGTGTCAGGCACAGCAACTTCCTAATGAAAACCAGCTTGACAGTTTGCCTCAGAAGTATGTAATTTCATCATATTTTGCTGTGTGCAGTTCAGAGATGGAGATAAGCACTGGGTACCATGGAAATACAGGTAACCTAGGCTCAGGGTTCAGCAAAGTCTTCCCCAAAATAGCAAGCTGGGATTTAGACCCATGTCTGTGTGATTCCAAGCCTCATGCCCTTTCCACTATGCCACAGTGTAAAACCCATTTCTCAATGGTGAAGAAATCTCGGGGTGCCGATATACTCAACAAGAGAGGTCAGTCAGACCAGCATATCATAATGAAGACCAACTGGACACAGTCTAACTCAAAATTAGGTCCCGTAATGGGGTACCACAAGAAGACCAGCTTTCCCCTTTAGCTTTGAGCTTGGGAAGTTCAGCTCTTCTTCACTGTACCTCAAGTGCACCCTTGCATTCTGGGGGCTAACACTGCTTTCTCCATGGCTTCCGGAACCCCCCAAGTTCCATGGTACCATCTCCCCTTCCCTGACCATTTACAGGCATCTTCCTTCACTCCTCTCTCTCTGCTTGCAACTTTTGAGCCGGTCCTAATGGCTACTTCTTGCAACCTCAATTCGTTTATCAAGTAGTCTGATCTAATTTCTCCACTCTTCAGCCCTGCCTCTGGGACTTCTCCCAGAGTCCACACAACTAGCAGCCCCCCCCCCACATCCTGGCCTCCCCCTCTGATATTGGTTGGGCCTGTCATATAATTCTCACTCAGTGGACACATTAGCCCGCCAAGGTGCCTCAGCAGGGGCCGCCATGCCACCAGTATCCATGAGTTAACTCATCACTAGTTACTTTCACTACAAAACAAATTTCTGGTTTCCCCTGCCTCAGAGCAGGTACACCTCTCTTCCCGGGTCAGGCTAAGTGCACCAGCCACATAGTGGGCACTTCGAATACCAGAAAGGGAGGAGGTTTTCCTCCAATTACAGGCTAATCAGGAGTGGGTCCAGACTACTCTGGGGACTTACAGGATACTCTCTGCTGTCCCTCTTCCTTTGCATGCCCCTCAACACACAAAGCACATGCCTGCCACACAGACAAAGCCCTAAACAGAGAGGGGCATTGTACTTTGAAACAGTGGAAGTCAGAGCTGGCCACAGAGGCTCTTTCTCCCCCAAATGCAGATGCTAGAGATGCAGCCACTTGGCCGCCTGCCTAGGAAGCTCCCCATCCTCTCCATACCCTGCCCACTTGGGTCCTCCAGGAAACAAGAGCCTGAAAAAAGACAACAGCCACAGGCCACCCCACATCCCCCTCCCCAGCCCAGAAAATCCCATTCGAAGCAGACAGGGCTTTTTAACAAACAATTAGCTTGAATTTTTCATTAGCTGCTGCTTCCTCTGCAGTTCCTGCCTCCACCCCTTTCAAATCTCCAAGCTACGTATATAGCTGGGGAGGCCCCAGTCAGAGGGGAGTCTAGTGGATGTTCGGGTTAAGGCTACCATGAACCCACCTCTGAAGTGGACCCTAATGAAGCTGATTGTGAATTAAATCAATTACCTCCACAGAGCCCATGTGTGGCCTACTTCAGACAGGCATTTCGCAGCACAGCCACGAAGCCAATCCTGCCGTGAGAACTCCCGCTCTTCCCCGCTGATGAGGATGACCATGGTAACGAGATGAAGACGAACATGACAAAACTGGTAAAGATAAGGTAGATGCCTTATATCTGTATCTTCTATCATTTGCAATGCCCTTCCACGGGCGGACTCTCATTTTAACTTTGGAACAACTCCATGAGGTCCCTGCGATCCTTATCAGCCTCTGGTTTTTAGAAGAGGAAAGTGAGCTTCAGAAGTGAAGTGACTTTATCTAATGACACAAAACAATCATATGACTGGGGCAGGATTGAGGATATCTTCCGATGGCAATTTCAAGCTGGAATTTCAGAAAAAGGAGGCCGATTAGTTCCCTTTTCTCACTGGGGTCCAGATCTGGAAAACACTGTCTAGATGTGTGGACGGATGGATGCTCAAGTACTGCTACTCTGACCAGTTATTTTGGAGATGGTTGAAAGGTGAGGTGAGACAACAACCTCTCTCTACTGTCGCATCATGAGGTCCTATTGAAAAAAAGAACTTTTCTTTGGTTCTAAACCTATATGCAGACCACGGGGAAGGAGCTCTCACACATACATGTACACTCTGCATGCTGACCTGTGGAGAGGAGGCATCTAGCCTCTTATTCTTGTCTCCATCACCACTGCTAAGGATGTCTACCCATTATCCCAAAGACAGGGCTCTCCCAGGTATACTGCTTGCCCCATGTGAAAGGAAAATAAATCTTGGGCCCCCAAAATTACTAAGCTAAAAGGAAAAAATCAAGATGGGAACCGCTTAGGGCAAACTTGCGCCCCATTCTATTCAAAGTCATCCCCCTTCTCACTGAGATAAATGCATATCTGATTGCTTCCTTTGAAAAGGCTGATCAGAAACTCAAAAGAATGGAACCGTTTGTCTCTTATCTACCTATGACCTGGAAGCTCCCTCCCTGCTTCAAGTTGTCCCGACTTTCCGGACCGAACCAATGTACATCTTACATATACTGATTGATGTCTCATGTCACCCTAAAATGTATAAAATCAAACTGTGCCCCTACCACCTTGGGAACATGTCATCAGGACCTCCTGAGGCTGTGTCACAGGTGCATCCTTAACCTTGGCAAAATCAACTTTCTAAATTGACTGGCACCTGTCTCAGACATTTGGGGTTCACACCCTTTAGGACCAGCAGGAAGGCAGACTGTCCTGGAAGGAGGAAGAAAGGCCACCTCTCCAGCCCTGCTCCCCACACCCTAAAGAGAGGGCCACCTGCCCACCTGTCACCCCCCGTCAGATCTGCCTCATGCCTGAGTTGGTTCCAAGTCACCTCTGGGCCCAGGGTAGGAGCAGAAGAGCTAGTCATCTTCAGGTTCACCTGTTTCTTCCTTGGCACCTAATAAATGCTTGATAAACAATCATTTATAAAGGAAGGGGGCTGGCCACGGTGGCTCATGCCTGTAATCCCAGCACCTGGGAGGCTAGGGAGGGCCAGTCACGAGGTCAGGAGTTTGAGACCAGGCTGGCCAACATAGTGAAACCCCGTCTCTATTAAAAATACAAAAAATTAGCTGGGTGTGGTGGTGGGTGCCTGTAATCCAAGCTACTTGGGAGGCTGAGGCAGGAGAATCGCTTGAACCCAGGAGGTGGAGGTTGCAGTGAGCCAAGATTGCGCCACTGCAGTCTAGCTCAGGCTTGGATCAGGAGATCCAAGGCTCTATCTCAAAAAAAAAAAAAAAAAAAAGAAAAAAAAAAGAAGGAAGGAAGGGAGGGAGGGAGGGAAGGTGTGTAGGTAGAGTAGGTAGGTCGGTCAGTCAGGGAGAAAGTCACAGCTCCCACTCCCACCACACAGTCTCCTCCTCCATGAGCCTCAGCCTTAGTCTCATGGTACCTACCCTGCTCTTTTGCTCTTCTCTTCTGTCTCCCGGCCACAGCTCCAAGTGGCTTTGAACTTGCCTAAGTAATTCCTCAAGAAAGTCTTTCTGTGCAACTGTGGATACAAGTGGGAACTTGCTTAGCACACGTGCCTGTGCAATCCATAAGTTCAGGAAACCAATACCTTGGCGGTAACCCTCAACCAATGGGGTGGAGATGCCAATACAGAAATCCTCCTTTGGGCTGATGCTGAGATGGACCATTGGGAGATGCATTCTATGTTCTCCCCAGACCGTCTTGGTGGGATCTAGCTCCCATTCCCCACAGCAGTGTCCTCCATAATATGCCCTTATAATGGGTGTTCCTCTTTCTCTCACTTTCCCTGGGGTCTCTCAGATCTACTGCTTGCCAGAAGACCTCTCTGAGGGTTCCTGGTACCCCTCTGCTGTTTTATTTCTTCCTGTTTTACATAATAATCTCAGTTTCTACCTCCTTGAGAGAAAATCCACAGCCCAGAATCCACAGAGGGCATAATAACAATAGCAGCTGGCATGGCTGGGGTACCTATTCTGCATCGTGGACTGGGCTCTGTACATTATAGGCCTTACTTCAAGCCTCACAACTCCTCTCTGAGGTAAGAATTACTTTCCCACTTTACAGATATGCATACCAAGGTACAGAAGAATATGACACCGGTCACAATGACAGATAAGCAATTGGTAGAGCTGGAAATTGGACCCAGATCCATCAAGTGTCTCACCTTGACGTTCTATAGGCCTGGTCCCAAAGCAGCTGAGTGACCCCTAGAACAGCTTAGAGATGCACACAGCCCTGAGATTGGTGTCTCCACCACCTCCTGGCAGAGGTGCAGCTAAAACAGAGGCTGGACGGTGGGAGAGAGCTTAGGGGTGCAGAGAACAATGAGCTGACTGCAGCACTGGGGAGCAGGTCGCGGGGGCTGGAAACTGAGGCTGAAAGGCCCAGGGACCAGGTTATGCAAAGCCCTGTGTGCGGGCGTGAGGCAAGTGGATCTTCCCCTGAAGGTAACCTGGAGCTTGGGAAGGCTCTGAAACAAAGGAGTAGCTGGGCCACATTTGTTTTAGAAAGATTCTTTAGGCTGTGTGGAGTCACAGAGTGGCTGGGCCAATTGTCTAGGAAGATGATCAAGGCCTGAACCAAGGCAGGTGACATGGAGAGGGGAGGTTGAGGAGAAGATAAACCCAAGACATAGTATGGGAGGTGAGGAAGAGAGTGGAGTTGACAACAACCTCCAGGGCTGGCTGCAGGCAGCTGCACTCCTTCCATTTCTCAGGATCTACTACACCAGCCACTTAAACCAGCCAGTCTGCAGAGCATGTGACCCAGCACCCAAATCCTCACCAGAGGCTGCAAGGCCATCCCAGTCAGTAGCAGCTCTGGACAACCCACCACTCCCCAAGCCTGGGGCTGGGCTCCTTTCCTGCCAGGGGAATGGTTGGGGGCCTCTGGGAAAGGGCGAGGCCTCCTCGAGCCCCATCCAGGGAGTCTCTGCTGGGCCATCTCTGCCCCCTGAAGCCTGTGAAATATTTACAACTAGCCAAGCAGGGGAAGTGAGGGGAAGCTGGAGCATGAATTATTGACAGCTTCACTTGCATCCTGGCCCAGGCTGCTGGGCCGAGCAGAGACCCAGGGGAGCCCCCAAGGCAATCCATGGGCATTAAGCAGAGTTCTTGAGGAAGTTAGGGGTACAGTTTCCTCACTATCAGGAGGACCACAGGTGACCTGAGCACCGCACCCTGCTCTGACTCCTTGAGGTGCCCAGTGCTGGTGAGGGGGATGCGAGCAGAGTGACTGGAGAGAAGCCCAGTGGCCCCAGACTCTCTTCAGTAAGCCCAGCTGAGCCCTCTTCTCCCTCATTGGCTGCCTCCCAGACACCCCAGGACTGGGCCTGCCAGGGCTTCGCTAAGTTCCTGCTAAGTTCCTGCAAGCTGCTCAGCTACCTGCCGTTGGCATAGGTCTCTGCTTCTTCTGAGAAGATTCTGGGATATTGTCTCTAGTCCTGCAGGGTGCCAGTCCAGAATCAGCCCTGATGGGCAGGCCTCTTCCACACAGACCTCCACAAACATTCCCAAGGAAACGTCCTCTGGGTCAGTTTCTCCCTCCTCACAGATGAGCAGCACGAGCTCCTGCCTGCAAGGAAAGAACTGGATGGTGCTGCAGAGGAGAGAGCACTGGACAAGCAGTCAGAAGACTTGGGTCTGAGCCATGGCACCACTAGCCAGGCAGGGACCAGAGCCTTCATTTTCTTGTTTGAAAATGAATCATAAGGGTGGCACCTCCCCAGCCTACTCCACGGGGCTGGAGGGCACCCCAGGAGATCGCACAAAAATGAGCTCTCCACACAGAAGCGTCATTTTCGCCAAATCCAGTTCTCCCACAGCCCTGGCTGCAACCAGGACCTCAGCCTTCTTAGAAACTGACAACTCGACAGCCAAGGTGACAGGCCAACCAGCCGTGTGATCCATGTGATCCGGCCCCAAGACCAGAGGCTTTTTATATTTTTACATTTGTCCTTCCAGGACATGTGGTGTTGGGAGCAGCAGCCTCTGCAGGGCTCCCTCCCCACCTGCCTGCCTGCACGTGACAGCTCTGATCTGAGGTGAGGGAAGGAACCAAGATGGGGGTAGGAGTGGGAGGATCTGGAAGCCCTCGCTGGACCCAGGCAGCATCTGGGTGGCCGCCCACCTCATCGCTGAGCTGGGAGCCTCACCCAGCACCAGCAGGCTCCTGATGTTCTGCTGGGAGGTTCCCAAGGGCCTGAGTGATGGGCACATGGGAAGCTTCTCCCCCATGCGCTCTCCAGAAGCCCGCCTCCTCCAGCCCTGGGATCCAACCTCTCGCTGCAGAATGGAGCCAGATCCACAGACAGACGGTGTTGCTACTTCTCACTTGCTTGCCACCTTCCTCCCCATGAGAGAGCTCACGGCCCTCCGCAAACTTTCAAAGTTGGCAACTCTAGTGTCTTCCAGAGGAGAAGAGAGGGAAGGGAGAGAGGACAGACCTAGAGGTCTGAGTGTGTGGAGGAGAACAAGGCTGGAGACGTTGCAAATCATTAGCAGACAATGCTCCCTTTGAGTAAGCCCAGCATTTCTCAAAGGAGCGCTGCTTGCCTCTGGAGTGAGATGACTCTTGGCTGTGCAGGCCTGGCCTTCCTACGGGATACTTAGCTTCCCTGGTCCCAGGCCTCTCATGCAGCACTGCCCCTCCCCTCCTCCCTCCCTGCTGTACTATTACAACCACCACCCCCCATCCAAATTTCCAATCGTCTCCAAGGGTACAGTACTGACCCCTGAAGAACCAACCAGTGGAGCCGCCCCAAGCAGGGACCCTGCCTTGCTCTTTAGTACTCATCCCATCAACCAAGTGCACTCAGAACGCACCCCTACCCACCAACCAGCTGACTGACCCAACTGTCTGACCCCAGTGACTGTTGACAAACCTCTGCCTATCAGCCAGGCTTTTTTTTTTTTTTTTTAAAATTTTTTTGGGACGGAGTCTTACTCTGTCACCCAGGCTGGAGTGCAGTGGCATGATCGTGGCTCACTGCAACCTCCATCTCCCAGGTTCAAGTGATGCTCCTGCCTCAGCCTCTTGAGTAGCTGGGACTATAGGTGTATGCCACCACGCCTGGCTATTTTTTGTATTTTTAGTAGAGACGGGGTTTCACCATGTTAGCCAGGCTGGTCTCGAACTCCTGACTTGAGGTGATCCTCCCACCTCGGCCTCCCAAAGTGCTGGGATTACACACGTGAGCCACTGTGCCCCACCTATCAGCTAGACTTTAACTGACCAAGTATCTGCTTACCTGACCGGCAGAAAAAAGCCAGATTTTTCCAGAACAAGAGTTCCCTAATCCTGATGCAGATCTGCACTCAGCCATGTGCTCTGGGGCGACAGATCCTCCACCCTCTCACAAGGTGATCTCACTTGCCCTGATTCCCCTCGGGAGTTCTCTGCCAACCCCCTTCAGGAACAGAG